TGTTGGTTTGTTCATTGCCAGAGTTTCTTGCTACTGATTCTTTCTGGCCAGTCAGCCAGACATTTGTTTTTCAATAAGGAATCAGCGAAGGAGGAAGCTGCTGATAGAACTCTTCAGTGACCTGTTAGAAATGCTTTTCGTGATACGTTAACCAGGTTTCTGACCCCTATAGAAGAACTAACTAACTGTCTGACTGACTGACTTCACATTTGTGTTGAACAGAATCCAAGTTTTGTTGTTTGTGTTGGCTGGCTGGTTGGTTGACTGGCTGGCTGGCTGGCTGGCTGGCTGGCTGGCTGGCTGGCTGGCTGGCTGGCTGGCTGGCTGGCTGGCTGGCTGGCACAAGATTTCTAAACTGGTTTCATGCTGATGAAGGCGTATCTTGCCTTTCCGATTCTCGCTGACTGTCTAGCTGGCTTTCATATCCGTTCCGACTGCATGTGGTTAAAGCCGTGATTTCTTGCAAGGTAAGTTGATGGTGACTGGTGGTATTTGTTGTGGCTGTTGGTGGTGGTTGGTTGTCCTCACCATTCCCGTCTCCACCCTCTCTGTTTCCACCTGGATACCTGTCTTCTTCAGCCAGTTTGTTGGTTTTCTGCCACCTAAAAATCCTCTAATTTGTGAGTGTGTTTGTGTGTGTGAAACTAAACGTAAATCATCCAAACGCTCAATCACGTAATTTATAAGTTTGACTTTCACTTTTGAAGCCGCTTCTAAGTAAAGTAATTTTAGCAGTTATGTCACCAACTCCCTATTACTCAATAATGAACCACCCTACATTTTTGGTAGGTATAAATACGACTGTACAGCCTCTGACGTTGAATTCGTGAATACAGAAAATTTTCTTCGCCAAAATGTGTTTTGTATTTTCTTCAAGATTCAATGAGTATTTTAGGCGATTAATATAAATTTCAACAAAAGATGTGTATTTTAGCGTGTATACATGAACATATTTCACGTTCACTCGTTACCGAGGTTACTACTGGCTTCGGGAATTTCAGGAATGTGTCGATCAGCAGTTGAACTCCAGACCAAATTAGCATATGATGACGGCAAATCTGTAGACGTTGTGAATCATAGGTCAGTGGATTTCAACAGATTTTCTTTGTACCAACATCTTGATGCTTCTAGCTTCAACCTGTCATGGAACCGTGAATATGCTAATTTAGAATTCCCACACCATTTTCAAGAGGTGCTTGATTTTCCACTGGTTGTCTAAATAATGTTGACTTGTACAAAAATTCGCCTTGAAGTAGGGTCTGGATTCGGACTTCACTGGGAATGCAGTTACATCCAACTATCGTGCCTTGGTGGCACAGAGGCAGGATGCTCGCCAACCGCACCTCATGTGGTCCGGGGTTCAATCCCCTGCCACTGGACGCACTCCTTTACCTCACTAAGCCAATAATAAGACTGAGAAAAAAGGAAGGTTGGCTAGGTATGAGGCGGCTAGCAACCCCACCCCGTAAAAATAAACACCACTGCTCCTGAAACGTCAGGTCTTTAGATTGAAGCCGCACTATGTTCCACAGGGGGAGACGTAAAGGAATAAACAGAAAGAATCGGATCTTAAATAGAGTGAAACGAGAGTATCCTCGACTTCACTGATAGTTACCATCATACTAATGTCATTGACCTACATTAGAGTGAGCAGTTGATTTATACGATGTTGTATTAATTCATCACATATGACTGTGATTTGATCATTTATATACCTGAGATTTTTTGTTACTTAAATCAGAATTTGACATCATCTCTTAAAAGCTGTCGAGAACTGGACAAGTTTTTCAAGTGCTATTCCCACTTATTAACATATTTTGCTAAAGTTATACTTGTTATTCAGAGTAGAGTGGAGTAGATTATCAGCCATCGATTTCCGTTCAGCATACTCTGTCTTATCAGACTGTTGTTAGACGCATGAAGTATACTCGTTGAATATAAATGGGATTCAAATATTCTGATTACCCTACATATTCAAGTATTGATTTTGTAGGGATTTTGTTTGATTCGTTGGAGAGTTTCATAGTCAGCTGATATCAGTTAGAGAACCATTGGAAAACCAACTAGGAGTACTGGACAGATGTTTTTTCATAGTTTGGGACCCGTCATCAGTAAGCACCCACCTCAACACCACCAGGGTTTGAACCCACAATCTTCTAGTTACAAGACCAGCTAGCTCGTAGACCATAAGGTCATTACAACCTGATAATCCAATGGTCAGCCCATGAATTCTAACTTCTGCCAATTGATGAGATAACGCGACCAGTAGGGCACAGCAGGTTGAAGGTGTGACAGTAACCAATCGAAGACGACATTACGAAGTGGTCGGTCTATGTCTTGCGTAAATTGGCAGAAGTTAGAATTCATGCACTGATTGACCATTTGATTGGCGGGTCCCAGTGAATGGCTGAATGGTCTACGAGCTAGCTCGCCTTGTAACTATAGAGTTCTGGGTTCGGCTATGGTGTTGGATGCGTACTGCTGAAGATTCCCGAACTAGGATGACGAAACAGCTGTCCAGTACTCTTAATATATCAAAATATTCCATGCAATATGAGGTACTCCTCATTACCTGCTGTGGTGGATGTTCTTGGCATTACTTTTTTGTCTGTAATGGAAATTTTAATTAGAAAGCTTTGATTATTCTTCTGAACCAAGAATTTCTTCTACGACTTCATATCCAATAGCATAAACTATAACCATTAAACGGCATGATGATATGTATTCCTTCATATCATACCACATACATATGACACAACTAAGCACAGAGGTTTGATTAGAAGTTCAGAGAATTCTTAGAAGCTTGATATGTGAATCAATTTGAACTTCATAGGCTCATATTCTAAAATGGAATATGGGACTTCGATCTTTTAAAATTTCAGCGACAGTAGTGTTACTTTTATGGGATAGGATCACTGGATTCACACCCAGTCCTGCCTCCTTCTTGGGTTCATTTAGACAGAGTTAGCTGGAAATTGAATGTAGACCAGGTGTGTGGCTGGTATGCATGCCACCATCAAAATACCCATGCTAGGTTACTTCAGGTTACTAAAGCGACCTCGTTTACTATTCAGCTACTGAGATGTGGCGATATAGAAAAAGTCACAGTGCTGAAAAGTTACAGTCAGACCAATGAGATATTCAGTATCAATACAAATGTGAACGCATGGATTAGAAAACCTGTGAAGACAATTAGTTACAATCAGGATTATCAGAAGAGACAGTTGTATCATTCACGCGGAATTCCAAGCATTCACTTCTTGATGAAGCTAATGTCAAATATGAAAGGATAATGGAGGCTTCAAGATTAAACCATAAAGCTTAGAGATCCCAGAAAAAGCAAGAGGTTAAGTTTGAATTCGCAATTTGAAAATGTAAGTGATTATCCGTTCCAAGTAGCTATCCAGAATTCAGTTTTCTGAGCTGCATTCATCCGGGTAAACAGATGATTATTTTGGCCCAAACTTTGGAGAATAGTTACCCGATCTGGCTACTAAAATGTTACTGGTTGATATGAGTAGTGCTCAACCGTCATGTATTTTATGTTAACTTAACAGTTTAACTCATGGCAGTGGCATTCTGTTTACAAAATGAACTCTGAAAATTCACTTCACATTATTAAGTCGATAGGGATCTACCCTTTGAAAAGTTCTAGTAAATCTATAATTCTTAAGGATTACTCACATGACTTTATGCACACTTAAATACTAGTACTCTCAGGTTTCCCAATGGTTCTCCAGTCGAGTTCAGCTCACGATGAAATTCTGTGACCAATCAAGTCCCTGTAAGTCAACACTTGAATACCACAGATAAAATCCACTGTATTTAAGGAAGTAATCCGCAATGGGAAACTCATGGGATCCTTGAAAGTGAAGAGGGGAGTAAGACAAGCTGGCTGCCAACTGTTTCAAAAGATTTTCTTGATTGCGGTACACTGGATAATATGACAGACAGCTAGCTGCAGGCAGCGGGGAGACAGGCATAAAATGAACCCAAACAAAATACTTGGAGGATCTGAACCTCACCGATGATATATGTCTGATTTCTTACAAACTGGAAGATATGCAAGTGATGAAAAGCAACAGGTTGATAAAAGAAGCACCCAGAGAAGATATGACTATAGGTGAAAATAGAGGAAACAAAGGTGGTGAAGATTCCTGGCCGACACCAACATCAGCAGCAACAACAACAACAGACAACAATCAGCCAGCATAAATGCGGGGAATCTGGAGGAAGCAACTTCCTTTACCTACCCACCTACCTACATGAGAAGCATCGTTTCAACTAAAGGCGGACGGAGCTGATAAGGATATCAGAGCAGCGAGCATCGGGAAAGCAAGGAAAGTGTTCATTGCTCTCAGTTATGTGTGAAGATCAACAGCACTATTCAGCATGAAAATGAAAATAAGATCCGGATTTTCAACTCCAATGTGAAGTCATTGCTACTTACTATACGGATCAGAGATTTGGTACCGCATCACAAAGGCCACTTCGAACAAACTACACACCTTCATCAACGGCTGTCTCCGCTCATTACTTCGCTCAAGATCAGATGGCCGGCCAGAAAAGATCAGCAACAGGGATCTCTGGCAATGATCGAACCAACCAACCAACCAGGAATCGACTGTGCTACAAATATGCACAAAGAAATGGAGGTGGATTAAAGGTCTTACTCTGAGAAAACAAACCATCAAGTGAACGACACCACACGCTAGGCCGTGGCTCGAGTGGAACCCAGATGAATGGGAAGCGCGAGTTAGTTGGTGGTCGGTGGGAGGGTGATATGGGGGAGGAAAAGGTGATGTGAAGAGGGGATGAAAGTATGTGGGCAGACGTGGGGCCAAGCGATGGAAACGTTGGCAGAGAACCAAAAGCAATGAAGAGGTGCTACTGAAGCCGTATGTTCCTCTAAAAACTAAACGAAACAATAATATAATTTAAGTAAGAAAATGTTTGTATGAAAGAAACCCTAAACAAAATTATTATTCACTAATACTTACCACTACAAAATCCAGGTTTTTTCAAGTCTATAAATGTATCACTTAAACAATTGACGACATGAAGAAAACAGGTATTCGCATAAGCTTTTCCATTTGACGCACAAACAGTAGGCCAACCATACGTCTTTACTGATCTTTCCCATACAGGATAACCAAATTCTGAAGCGCCTACTGATGATGATGATGATGATCTGGACGATGATGACGGTATGAAGACTTGTCCATTTCTGAATTCTGTATTACAGTCTATCGGTAAGTCTTCACAATCCATACATATCGGTTGGCCGGTTATATGATGTGGGCTACATTTCATGCCTTCTCTTGGACATTTTATATCTGAACACGTCACCTTACCTGTAAAGTTAAATAAAACTAAAATATTAGAATGTTATTTTGTGTTTAATCGGTTTTATGGAAAAGTTAGAAGACTTGTAACCGGCTGCAGAACTTCAGGAGTGAAAAGATAGATATAAAGTGGAATCATAAACAAATCCCAAGAAGATTTTGATTTCCGAGATGATCCATGTTGTGTGTGTGTCTCCCACCAGCTCAAAGATGGACGGGTGAAAATCAACACAGCAGAAAGGCAGAGAAAACTGGCGTCAGGTGAATATAGAAAACCTGGCAGTACTGGATAGCTGTTTCATCTTAGTTTAGAACTAACTCTTCAGCAGCACGCGTCCACCGGGGTTCAAACCCACTGGATCGGGTCTCGGTGGCTTTTCTTCTAACCAAAAGGTCCTGGATTTGAACCCTGGTTGGTGCGTACTGCTAAAGAGTCCCAAACTAGGCTGACGGAGCAGCTATCCAGTACTCGAGTGGGGGTTTACCAATGGTTCTGTAATCGATGTTAGCTCCCGATGAAATCCTGTAACCAATCAATCATATGCCTAAAAGCTAATACTTGAATATCAATGAGATGCTCACTGGCGACTGGCTCCATTCAGGTAGGTAGTTACCTGGATTCTACTAAGAATGCGTGACCAGCCAGAGGGGTACAGCAGGCGGTCAGGTGTGAGGACAAATACTCGCTTACGATGACATTGGCTAGCGGCCGCGTTATGTCGTGAATTGGCAAAAGTTAGAATTTACGCGCCAGTCATTAGATCGGGTCCCAGCGGCTTAATGATCTACGATCTAGCTCGCTAGCTTTATAACTAGAATGTCATGGGTTTGAACCCTGGCGGTGGTGGGGTGGGTGCGTACTTATGAAGACTGCCAAACTAGAACAAAACAGCTGTCCAGTACTCACAGGTTTTCCAATGGTTCTCTAACCAATAAGCTTATGATGAGATCCTATAATTAATGATGAATTATTTGACTTGTTCATCTTGTGTCTTAAAAAAATCAGAGTTCCCCTTTCAGGATCTGAACTAGGTCTATTGCGCCTGAACCTCTTGAACGTCGACAATTTGGCTTGCACAAAATTTCCGATTTTCCTAATGTTTCTGTATTTCCTGAAAAAAAAACACAGTTCCACCGACTAAATAAAATACACTGGTCGTGGATATCTCATTGCAACTTCAGTGAGAAATCGTGACCAATATGGTTCACTTAACTGCCAGTGATACTCAACGTCACCTAGCGATATATTATGACGAAATAAACAACACTGGGAATTTGTGGGCCATTGGATTCCAACCCAGTAGATAAGTGGTAACATGTTCAGCCTGTAAGTTGGAAGCGCTTCCTGAGCTCGATTCCTTTTGAAGCAGTCGTTTGTCAATGCTGAAAGCCCACATACCAGAGTGAAACGGCTTTTCAGTGCCTCTCTGACTAATAGTGTTTCGTGAAGAAACCTTTATTTGAACTACATTTCTACACTCTTAAATTATAAACTTCGATAGATTATGTATTATTGTTGAAGCCTTTGTTTGAAGGGAATATTTCAATTGTAAATTTTTCATAATTACTCAAAACGGCATTCTCATCATCATATCGGAGAGAAAAATAGGTGTGACTGAGCTTCAACTACTTAATCATTGTGTGATTGTCACTAGAAATCAGAGTTCTGAGGTGAAAGTTCAAGTCCATCAGTAATGTGACGCTCCATTCAGCTTGTCAGACGCGTTTACATAGTAAATAAAAAAGGCTGACGACCGAAAACCACTTTTACTCAATGTTTGCATTGTTTTCATTATTATTGTTATCATTATTCCGTTGGATTCTGAGTGGACATGTGAGACTTCAATAACACCTATTTTCTCCCACGACTGGCCATAAGATTTCACCCACTCCCCCTCCTCCACCTTCTCCTTACACAATCTCCTCCATATCGCTCAAGAAACCCCGCCAAACTGGTCCTTCGCCACTCGATTTCCACTTGACCACTGGCTCAACTTGCCATCACACTCAACGGTCTCCTTAGTGGCGTGCATCGATCCATCTGGAATATTTGTTGAGCAATAGATTCTTATCTGTTGATTCGCTGGTTGACAGAGTTTCTTCTGGCTAGCCATCCATCTAATCTACAGAATGGAACCAGAGAAGATGCCAGCTGTTGATAAATTCTTTATGTGATGCGTAATGTAAGTTTCTCACTCAAATAGAGGAACTTATTGACTGACTGACTGACTTAAAGCAGGTGTTGTAAATCCGGATTTTTTTATTTATGCTGAGGTGGAATGAAGTGAGTGATCAAGCCCTATCTTGCCTTTGAGATCCACACCGGTTTTGACATCTTCACCCACGCTGTCGCCTGTAGTTTTGTATAGGTACTGCCTAACCAAATAATTGAAGGTAGTAACCTCTCTGGAATCTCCTCCGTCGATGGTGACTGGTGCTTGTTGCTGTCAGTGTTGGTGGGTGGTGATGGTGATGGTTAGTTATTTCCATCACCCCCTTCTTCCCTATGTTCACTTGAAGTCCTCTCTTCTAAAGTTGCTTTTTCTCCCACTTAGTTGGTTTTTGTCTGTTAGTCTTCAAATCTATGTAATATAAGATATTATTCATCCGCGAAGTCTAGTTCTTCCAGAGTCTTCTTATCTATCCAACGTATTCCTTCCTGTCTTCTCAATCCCCAACATACAGTCTCCAGCATAATCCAGTCCACAACAATTGAGAATATCATTGTCGGTGATTGTAGCCAGCCAGCTAGCCAGCCAGCCTTGTCTTGCTTCTCTCTTCACTTCAAAACGCCTCGTTGAGTTTTCTGTTGTGGACCAGCTGACATATGACAGGCACTGTCATATAGTCAACTGTTGATTGAGTTTGATAGAGATTCAAGCACTGCACTCGGTGATATCGAAGCTGCTTTCCATACTGCCTAGCGGTTAACGCTGTCGAAGTCTTTTACCCAGTTGATGAAGCTGATGTAGTGATTTGGCTGCCGTTCTATGCTCTGTTGGATGATGATGATCCGTAGAGTTGCAGTCTGATCATATCACTAGTGATTAGTTGAAAACCAATCTTTCTAGTCACCGTTACTTTTAACGATTGCTCATAAGCAAAGACAAATTTTTAACATTCAATTCAATTTTCAATCTACATACTGCATAGCTTCTTTCTTCCCAGATCGCTAGAAATAGAAACGAAGAGTTTCCATAGTAAAGGTCAGATGGCCAGCTAGAAAGTCTAAGTATCATAGAACTCTGGTCACTAGTCAACTAGCAGCCCACTCCCCCAACAAATACACAGAAAAAAATTGAGAGGGATCGGATATACCTTGAATATTCCACAGGTATAACCCGAATCCGTATCTAATCCTCCGATTAAATAAATATTAAATATCAACGATTAATGAGCTGACATCAGTTAGAGAACCATTGGAAAACCAGCACTGGAGTACTGGGCAGCTGTTTCACCCTTGTTTGTGACTTCTCAGCAGTACGCGACTGTCTCACCACCACCAGGGTTCGAAACCACGACCCCCTGGCTACCAGGCGAGAAGCTCTTAGGCCATTCAGCCACCCACTGGGACTCGCCAATCCAATGGCCAGTCAGTGCATGAATTCCAACTTCTGCCAATATAAGCAAGACATAGCGCGACCACTTCGTAATGTCTTCTTCGGTGAGTTACTGCCTCACCTCCAACCTGCTGTACTCCACTGGGTTGAAGGTGAATCAGTAACTCATCGAAGATGTTGCAAAGTGGTCACGCTATGTCTTGCGTGAATTGGCAGAAGTTAAAATTCATGACTGGCTGAATGGTCTACGAGCTAGCGCGTCTGGTAAGTAGAAGGTATCGAGTTCGAACGCGGGTGGGGGCATACTGCTGAACAGTCCCAAACTAGGTTGATGAAGCAGCTTTCCAATACTCCATGCAGGTTTTCTTGTGGTTCTCTAACCGATATCAGCTCATGATGAAATCCTTCAATCAATCAAACAAAATCCATACAAAACCAATACTTGAAAATCAGTGATCAAACTCATCAATGCTGCTCACATACCACAACTTTGTTCTTAGCATTTATTGATCATATTACTGTCTTGAAGTTTCTACGTTCAACGCAGTGATCATTGAAAAGTATTCACAGTCTAATATCGAAATCCCAACGTTTTGTAGCACTTCTTGTTATCAATATTCAGTTCACAACATATACCCAAGGAAGTTTCACGATATCTAACATATTTTATTAACCCTATCTGTCCCTAACAATTTTTTGAGCATTTCATATTATTTCAGTGGGTTTCTTGTCAGTTGGAAGTACCTTCCACATCCCCAGTGATTAACTGTGTCCCATACTGAAACACACAAATCTAGGAGCCATCTTTTCAGACACTAAAATATTATCTCTCAGATCACCTGGCTACGACAGCGATTTCTTATACAACAATGTCGCAAGTAGACCGAAGTGTGTGTGTTTGTTTCCTGAATTCTACTCGTAACCATTATCAAACCAACTAACATTATTTTATACTTCAGACGTCTGAACAAAGCAAGAACTGCAGTTATAGCAGAAGAAAGTGGTACCATCTTTGTTTATTTCGTTGTTTTCTCGTCAGCTGCTTTCCAGGGCAAAGACATTATTACATATATCTACAAAAACAATTTTAACATACTTGCACAGAGTTCATTTTCAACAAAAATCAATCGATCAGTATATTCATACACTAATAATATATATATGTAATATTAAACACTATTCGGAACAATAATGATCATACTCAATGGAAACTTTTCAGTATTACGCATTCAAATGAAAGAGAGATGAAAATATCCAGTTACTAGGGGAAAGAAAGACTGGTAACTGTTTCTTTCTGGACGCACAAATCAGGTTCCAGGCGCTTGATGGAAATGGCTTCAGCAAACCCGAGGAGAATCGAATTCTTTTGCTTATTGACAATTGTGAAATATCTTCTGACGTCCACCTCATGACCCGTGTCAAGGAGATGCCTGGCGATGGCACTGTTTT